AACTAATGATATTGCACAACCCTTTACTAACTCTAGTAAATTTGAGTTTGAATCTCTGAATATGGCTACCTCATTGGTGGAGCCAAACTCAAGACGTCTAGAGGATTATGCTTGGATTTTCCCACCAAGTGAAGCCATAAAAGAAATTGGGTTTGCTTTTGAATACTTATAGTAGTTGATGGAAGAGCTCTTAGATGAAGATGATAACCCCAACTTCATTCTTGTAGGAGATGTATAGAGAAGATCCTTTGACTTGAATATGCGGAGTACCTATGTGTCACTAAGAAGGACACAAGATTGCATTTTATCCTTGCACTAAAGAAATGGTTGAGGTTAAGCCTTTTAATCTGTATGGTTAACATCATTTGGATGATCAAACCATGGAGCTCATCAAACAACAAAGGTTTGAGCATGAAGACATTTGTCGCACTTTGGTCACCATGGCACTAGGCTATGAAGGAACATATCACCATCTTGTATTCATTATTGGTACACCCCGACGACCATGTTAGGTTCAACCTTGGACTTAATTCTTTCAAGTTGAGTTAAGACTCAAGGTTATGTAGCATTCCATTTGCAAAAGGAAAGAACACCCTGTCGGATACATCAAGGACATAAGATATTTGCGTTAAGCCAAAGCTCATCAGTCGGGAGCATATGGCATCAACTAATATTATCCTATCATCACTATGGGCCATTGTATTTTGCAATATCCTATCCCTCACCAAACCATGTTCTAGCAACATTCTCTACCAACCACTTCACTATTATGTTTATCCATCTCCTTTTTGTTTTCATTTTATAGTTTATTTACTTGTATGCATATACTTCCCTGCCTTACTATTATTATCTCTCCTTTACTTGATCAAGAAGCACAAGTGTTGCCACGTTCGTTTGAAGAAGTCCTTGAATTTTTAGAGACAGTCTTAGAATTGAAGTCCATGGTCAATACACTAGTCTTAGTTCTCCAACAGTCCATTCATTAGCAACAACCACTTTGATTGCAAATATCAGAAGTTTCTCAACAAACTTCATGTTGAAGTTAGCTCTGACTAAGAATCTTCACTTGACTAGTGTTGCTTTGCTCAAATTTTTGTCTTGGTCTTGAATTTTTCTAGTGCCAAAAGGGGAACTAAACAACTTTTTAGTTTTTTGAAATTTTATTTTCAAACTTAAAAACTTTATTACTTTATCTTAGGGGAGCTTATTAAAAGTTCAAATTTACTTTGAAATTTCCTTATATGCTCATATATTTCTACATGTTTTGATATTTTGCTATTGTTTAATAAATAGTTTGTCTAAATATATACATGCTGATAGGTGCCTATCACATGCTCTGATATATAGTAATATAGGTCCTGATCTTTGTTCTAAATAACTTTATTGATTTATTAAATAGTTTATCTAAATATGTCATGAACACTCGCTCTGAACGAACATTTTTCTCTGATAAGAAATATCTTGAATGACTGATTATTTGTTTAATAATTTAAATTGACTAGATCTTATGCGTGTATTTTTTTTATCTCTTTTCAAAAACATGTTTGTCACCATTATAAAGGGGGAAATTTTTAGATCGAAAGAAAATCTTGGAACCTTGAAGATATCAATTTTATTGTTAACAAACTTAGATGTTTTTCAAAGAAAAATTTTTCAAATCATATTATAAGATGAATTAGAATAAGCAATTGGTTATGATGACTTGTAGTTAAACAAAAATTTTGTTTGTAAGACAAATGCATTTAATATATATCATTTATAATGCCTAATAACCAAATCATATTTATCTATGTTATTCCTTAATAGATCGAAAGGAATAAAAAGCTTCTTCGGTACTAGCATTTCAAAAAGAAACGAAGACATACTTTTCATCAGAAAAAAAAAAGACAAGCAAACCCTTCAAAGCATGCAACTTCTTAGAAAAAGTTATTTCTAATTGACACAAATAACACTTCCTTCCATTTGGTACCTTAAAGGTGATAAGTGGCTTCCTTGACCAAATAATAAGTGATAATTTGGTAAAATGTATTTAATGCTCACATTTAATGCATCAATGAACATTTCTCTCTACAAGAAAGGAAGACAAAGATAGACGAAGCAAGCCTGTGAGAGATGTTCAAGAATTTGTAACGATCATCTTCATGAAGCACCAATATAAAAAAGTTTAAAGCCCTAGAAAGAAAAAAGATAATAGTCATTGTAAAAACATATTCATTCTTTCTGTATAAAGCTTTGTACTTAATTTGGTTATATAACATCTTGAAAGTAAGATGAAATAACTAGTAATTTCTCAATTTTAACTTTTGTGTTATTGCTTGAAGCTTGGAGAGGCTTTGTTGTAAAGAATATTTGAATAGTTGCTTGAAGAGATAAGTCAAACAATATTTAGGTTGAGCTATAAGTGATTTGTGAAAAAATACTTGTATCTTTGTGAAAGATAGTGTAACTTGATCAAGTTGATCAAGAATCGTCTTGATGATTGAGACAAACTAGCATAAAAATGTTGTGTGTTCTATGTTCTTGACTCTTTGACTGCATTTTTAAGGTTTTTGATACTATTTCATTGTTTTAAAAAATTGTTGAGTTTTTTTATTAACACTATTCAACTTCCCTTCTAGTGTCTTTCTTTTCACCATAATAATATATATAAAACAATCATAATATAAACACTTCTTTTCTCTAAATATTTTATATAACAAAATAACTTCACAAATCTTCTTTATTAATTTAAAACACTCATAATTATTTCAAAAGTCTCTAAATATATTTATAAAACTCATTTAATAATTTTATAAAACTTAGGGTGTTAAAATCTACCTCCCTTGGTGGCGCCTCTGTCTTCTTAACCTAGTAATAGGGTTTCATGACCTTGATTTTTCGGTTTGTATTTAATCTTGGTCTCAATGTTTTTCTATTATGTCCATGATCTTAGAGTTTTGAATATCTTGAGTATATTTATCTTATGAAGTAGTGGTTTATATCATTTATCCAATGTTTTAATTGAGTCCTTGTGATTAGTGCAATAGATTGGTTGTTTACCCTTTTATGAACAACTTGACCGACAGTGAATAATGTAACATGATCAGTCAGGCCTAGATCTATAAGAGTACACAATACCTTAGTCTTGAGTCTTAAAAGGATGAAGAGACCAATTATTGTTTGGGACCATTGCTTTAATCATGTGCTTGGTCAGTTGTTACCAAGTAGGTTGAATTTTTACATATTGGGATCGATTTGTCACTGATTGATTACTTTAAAGAGATAGTTGATGGTGCCCTAATCAACCATTCATCCTAGGATGTTTTCTCCTAGTTTTTATTTTCTCTTAGCTTATCTTCCCTTCTTTTGTA